CTCACTTCTGAACCACCTTTTTTTCCAGTGAACTGGCTCTCACGCTTCATGACTCCTACCACCTGGGACCACCAGAAATCCTTACCTACCCGTGTTCTTGAAAGTTTCTCCGTGCCTTCCTTCCCTGAAAGCCAACTATGAAAAGTAGAAGACCCGAAGTATGTACCATTTCGTAGCTTTGCAAGATTTTGCAGGCTGCACGAAATGGCTGCCGGTGTTTTCCAGAGTTAGAAAAATCCTTTCTGTAACTGAATTTTACCTGCAGTATTGACTTCATTGTTGTTTCTTTGTGGATAAGTGTAAAGAGACCGATCAAATCCTTGCAGTTTATGGGAGCTTTCGGACTCCTTTAATCTCTTTTCCTCATTCGAGTGCTCCGGTTGATCCCGCCTGTTCTAATCCTTCAAAAAAGTCGTCCTTGAACAAAAGATCACGATCGGCTTTAGCCTCACGAGTTTCCGTCCAGTCAATTAGCAGCAGGTTTCGCGCATTGATACCTATCTTCAGTAGCAATTAAAGTGTCAAATGTCATGAGAAGAACAACGTGTCATTGCGATTTAGTCGAGTGTCATCGTCTTTGAAATCCTCGCTCGCGTGCTCGACCTTGCATAGCGCATAGTTAGTGTAAGGAACGCAGTATGGGACCGCGAAAACTGCGATTTCAACTGACTGGGAATGAGGTAAATTGCAAGAGAACGACCTCAATTCCTAGAATTTTCAAAACAATCCTCTCTTTGCGGTCACAGGTTTGACCTCGAGAATAGGGCACCCGTGTGCACTATCTAGGTGGTGCTGTAACGAGTAGCGCACTGACCCGGGAACGTGGATTCGAGTTCAGCCAAAGGTCAAGCCTTCTGCTTATACACTCCTTATACCTAAACGGAGTAGTCGTGACACTTGAACATGGCATAGAGTGGGTTACTCGTGGGATATTCGAGTTTGAGACAACTGTCATTCTGTCCAGTGTTGGGAAGAAACAGGAAAAACTGCGAAAAGTCAACAAGCAAGAAAATTATTTTCCCAACGCAGTAAGTTTCTCTCAAAGGCAGATACGACCCCGCTCTCTCAACAACGACCAAATACGACTCCCTTCCTCCCTAGCGGTCAGGTAAGACAGTCCATGTGTTTCGCACAACGATGCTGTACCCTACTTGTATTTACAATTGGCTATGTTTCTTCAACAGTCAAAATCCTATGTTTCAAACGAGCGGCGCTGCCTATTTGAAGAGTGCTGTTTGTGGTTACCATTAGGTTGGCATATAAGCAATGGCGTCTTTTCTTACAAAAATTTTTATATGAACAATAATAATTGTTCCCAATGTGTTTTATGCCATTTGATAGACAAGTTTCCGTTCTATAAGATAGTATGGTTGCCTTCATATTG